GATGCCTCCTGCTTTGGTCTTCTTCAATATTACTTTGGCTGTTTGGGGTCTTTTGTGGTTCCATACAAATTTTAGGATTGCTTGCTCTAGCTTTGAGAAGAATGCTGGTGCCATTTTTGTTGGGATTGCATTGAATGTGTAGATAGCTTTGGGTAGTATTGACATTTTAACAATATTTATTCTACCAATCCATGAGTATGGAATATTTTTCCATTTCTTTATATCTTCTTCAAGTTCCTTCATAAGCTTTCTATAGTTTTCAGCATACAGATCTTTTATATCTTTGGTTAGGTTTATTCGTAGGTATTTTATGATTCTTGGTGCAATTGTGAATGGGATCAGTTTCTTTATTTGTCTTTCTGTTGCTTCATTATTAGTGTATAAGAATGCAACTGATTTCTGTACATTGATTTTGTATCCTGTGACTTTGCTGAGTTCATGGATCAGTTCTAGTAGACTTTTGGTTAGTCTATCAGGTTTTCCATGTATAATATCATGTCATCTGCAAAAAGTGAAAGTTTGATTTCATCTTTGCCAATTTTGATGCCTTTGATTTCCTTATGTTGTCTGATTGCTGATGCTAGAACTTCCAACACTATGTTAAACAACAGCAGTGGAATTTACCCAAGGGATACAGGAGTGCTGATGCCTAGGGGTACTTGTACCCCAATGTTTATAGCAGTACTCTCAACAATAGCCAAATTATGGAAAGAGCCTAAATGTCCATCAACTGATGAATGGATAAAGAAATTTTGGTTTATATACACAATGGAATACTTCATGGCAATGAGAAAGAATGAAATCTGGCCTTTTGTAGCAATGTGGATGGAATTGGAGAGTGTTACGCTAAGTGAATAAGTCATACAGAGAAAGACAGATACCATATGTTTTCACTATGTGGAACCTGAGAAATTTAACAGAAGACCGTGGGGGTGGGGAAGGAAAAAAAAAGTTAGGGAGGGAGCCAAACCATAAGAGACTCTTACAAACTGAGAACAAACTGAGGGTTGATGGGGGGTGGGAGGGAGGAGAGGGTGGGTGAGGGGTATTGAGGAGGGCACCTGTTGAGATGAGCACTGGGTGTTGTATGGAAACCAATTTGACAATAAATTTCATATAAAAAAAGAAAACAAACACGAATGTGTGTCATAATCCTAAGGGGAGGCAAAGTAAATCTAGGACAGCATGCATGTGAATGGAAAATAGATATTAAAAAAAATTTCTTATATTCTATTATCGATATATAATATAATCATAAAAACAGAATACATTATTAGAACTTTACATTTTAGATAATATAATAAGGATACAATTTCTTACAGATAATGATAATGCCAGATATAGTAACTAAATTAAAACTCATTAGTTACGTCTTCCTGGATCATAAACAAGAGGTGTATCCCTATCAAATCATGGGTAGTAAACAACATAATGAAGAAAACAGAATTTGGCAACAGATGACACCTTTAAGGATCTTTTTTTTTAATGACTGCCTCTCAAGCTGTGTATTTGATTAATGGTCTAGAACTGTCGTCTTCAGAGCAGGATGGGCAAGGCAGTCTTGAGAGTACAAGAAGATTTTTCAATTTTGATTTTTCTCATCCCTTAAATTTTTTTTGGTAATTTTATAATGAATATAATTTATGCATAAGCAGTCTATAATTAATGGTTAACAATTAATGCAGATCTTGTTACCCAGAACTACAAATACAATCTAGCTAATGAATATAGCTCTTGTTACCCAGAAATGGGGTGCTGCTGTAACAAGTATCAAAAATGTGGAAGTGGCTTTATTTATTTATTTTTTTTCAATGTTTTTTTAATTTATTTTTGGGACAGAGAGAGACAGAGCATGAACGGGGGAGGGGCAGAGAGAGAGGGAGACACAGAATCGGAAACAGGCTCCAGGCTCCGAGCCATCAGCCCAGAGCCTGACGCGGGGCTCGAACTCACGGACTGCGTGATCGTGACCTGGCTGAAGTCGGACGCTTAACTGACTGCACCACCCAGGCGCCCCTGGAAGTGGCTTTAGAACTGGGTAATGATTAGAGGCAAGAAGAGTGTTGAGGTGCATGTGAGAAAAAGCCCACGTTGCCTTGCAGAGACTATTGGCAGGAATATGGATGTTAAAAATGATTCTGATGAAGTCTGATGAAGATGGAAATTAGGAATTTGGTATTGGAAACTGGCAGAAAAGCAGTCCTTGTTATAAACTGGCAAAGAACTTGGCTGAACCGTGTTCTAGCTTTTTGTGGAAAGCAAAAGTTAGAAGAGATGAACGTGGATAGTTAGCGGAGGGAATTTCTGAGTAAGGTGTTGAAGGCATGGCCTGGTTTCTCCTTACTGCTTATAGTAAAATGTGAGAGGAGAGATAAATTGAAGGAATTGTTAAAAAAGGAACCAGAACTTGAAGATTTGGAAAATTCTCAGACTATCCCTATTGTGAAAAATGAGAAAGCATGTTCTGGAGAGAACACCAAGGATGTGACTGGATAATCACTCCATAAAGAGATTACCCCTGGATTTAAGCAGCCATCTCAGCAGAAGCCAGGAATAGAGATGGGATTATACGAGTAGAGAGACTGCCAGTTAGGACTAAAGAGCACAGAGATGGGATGAAATTATACGAAGGCTTTCAGAGTTCTGGGATTCTACCAGATGAGACGGTAGAGCTAGGTTGTAACCATGCCTTATCCTTTAAAACAAGGAAAGAATGACCCTGAGGGTGATTCAGAGATCAGCAGGGCAGCCATTGCCACCACAGGCCCAGGCCATACAACCCACATGGCAAGGCTGTCTCCTCATTGGTTTGAGTATGGAGCCACCTCCTTGGTTTCAGTTGTCCAGGCTGCCCTTGCTCTCAGCCTCAGGAGCAAACTATTTCCAGTGGCCGAGGAGATGCTTCTGCCCACAGAGGTAAGAAGGCAAGGCCACCCCAGTGGGCTTGAGGGCAGAGCATCTGGCCAAAGAGGGTCATTCTTGAGCCTTAAGATCTAATGGAATTTGCTCCACTGGAGTCTTGGACTAGCCTGAGACCCATCACCCTTCTTTCTCATTTATCCCTTTTGGAATGGGATTGTCTATTTTATGCCTTTCCCACCATTGTATTTTGGAAGCACATAACTGGGTCTTGTATCAAAGGTCCGCAACTAAAAAGGAATTTTACCTCAGGATGAATCATGCCTTGAGTCTCATGGATGCCTGATTTAGATGATATTTAGATGAGACTTTAGACTTGTAGTTGGTGTTGGAATGGGTTAAGACTCTGAGGGCTCTTAGGATGGGTGAGTGTATTTTGAGTGCAAGAAGGAATTAATTTGGGGGAACCAGAGGATGGGATGTTATGGACTGAACTGTATCCTCTCAAAATTCATATGTTGAAGTTCTGACTTCCAATGTGACTTTATTTGAAGATAGGGCCTTTCAGGAAGTAATTAAAGTTAAGTGAGGTCAGAAGAGTGGGCACTTAGGTTCTGGTAAGAAGAAGACCCCAGGCATGCACATGCACAGAGAAAAGGCCTTGTGAGGACACAGAAGGCATCAACCTGCAAGTTAATAAGAACGGTTTTATCAGAAACCAAGCCAGTTGGCACCTTGATCTTGGATTCCACCCTCCAGAACTGTGAGGAAATAAATTTCTGTTGTTTGTTTAAGCCAGCGGTCTGTGGTGTTCTATTATAGTAATCCAAGCAGACTAATATAATAGTATTAAATATCAAGAGGCATGCTCATATCTTTATACTGATCGATGAATGTTTTTCAGAATGTTTTCGAAAATGTTTTATGGATTACTGAATTAAAGAGTAACGAAATTCATTTTAGGATCAGACTTCATAATGACACCTTCCACATAAAGAGAGAAATAAAGGATAGAGGAAAACAATAAAGAAATTATTTGTTAAGTTCCTCCTATAGGATGAATTTAACCCCTGCAAAATTTTATCTTAATAACAGTTGTTTGTGATTATAGTGGCGAAGACCGATTTATTTATTGAAAGTGTCCATGAGCCTCAGAAGGAGTAGATGTAACCATCTGTGACTTGTTTAATGTTGTTCTCAAGTGTTTGCCATGGTGCCAGTACCTGCAAATGTAGAATTGTCAAGTGACTAATTTGAAACGTCTTGAACCATGACTTCTTGATAGATTTAACTTGTTTAAACATTATGAAATTAAATTACTTGGACTTCTACTTCTGGCCACAATGGAGGAATAGGACCAGGTTTACCCTCCCTCCTAAAACAAGTATCAGACAAAACATGTGAAGTAAGTATTTTTAAGACATTGAATATCAGGCAGTGAATGCTGTCAATTCATGAGAGATGGAAAGCAGGTGAGAGGAGCACTGAGATTGTCTGGGCTTACTGCCTGCGGGGAGTCTCCCGGCTGCACAGCAGGAAGCCCAGCAGCCTTTCTGAATTGAAGAAGTAGAGTTAGGAGTGTGGAGAGACTAAGGCAACTAGAATTCACAGGACAACCAAGATCCAAAGAAACTAAACCCTATTGAAGACCAGTATGTAGAAGAAAACAGGAGAAAATACAGGTCACCTTTTATTTGGCAGTGATTTCTTAGATACGACACCATAAGTACAATCCATGAGAGAAAAAATTGATATACTTTATCAAAATTAAAAAACTGCTCTGTGAAAGACACTGTTAAGAGAATTAAAAAGATAAGCCACAGACTGTTAGAAATATTTGTAAATCACATATTGGATAAAGGACTTAACATCCAGACTTATATAAAGGACTCTTAACAACAAGAAAATCAACAACCCTATTAAGCAATGCGCATAAGATCTGAACAGACACTTCATTGGAAGAAACTCTACAAATGGCAAATAGACTTAGGAAAGGTATTCAATATCATGTGTCATCAGGGAGTGGAAAATTAAAATCACAACAAGAATGTACACATGCCTTTTAGAATGGTTAAAATCCAAAAACCTGACAACAAAATATGCAAGGATGCAGAGCAACAGGAACTTGAATTCATTGCTGGTGAGAATGCCAAATGGTATGGCTATTTTGTAAGACATTTTCACAGTATCTTATAGTGACCCAGCAATCAATATGCCTAGGCAAGCATATTGAAAACTTAGGTCCTCACAAGAGCCTATACACTAATGTTCATAGCACCATTTTTCATAATTGCTAACAATTGGAAGATGTCTTATGAGGAGAATAAGCAAACCGGTGTAACACTATTTAGCAATTGAAAGGAACAGGCAACATCATGAATGAATTTTAAGTGAAGCGAAAGAGGCAAGCCCCAAAAGGCTACATATCATATGATTCCATTTATATGACATTCTGGAATAGGCAAAACTTTAGGGATGCAAAACAGATTAATGGTTCCCAGGTGTTAGATAGAAGAGGAAGTGGTTAACTACAAAGAGGTTGCATGGGAGAACTTTTAGTGTGAAGCAGATGTCATATAAGGGATGTCCTGTATGGTTCTTTTATTTATTGACTGATACCGTGCATTTGTCAAAACCCTAGAGCTGTATGTACATCACAAAGAGCAAACTTTAGTGTGTGCATACTAAATACACACACATCACCCAGGATGTTGGGGGATCTAAGATGGAATGCAGTCTGTGACTAATGAATCTTAACTTTATTAGAAATGTATAGCATGACCACATTGAAGAGAGTGGAAGGAAGAGGAGCTGACCTAAGTAAATTTGGAAAACGGAATTTTTGAGTAGAAATTGTAAGCCTATTAAAAGAAAAGGAACAGTATATAAAGTATATTCTGATTGGTAAATGAGCTTTTCATAGGGGTACAAGTTCACAGTTCTTTACATATGTATTAGGATTGAACGAATAAGTAAACGGACGTTGGATGATGGTAGGGGTCAAGTTTCTTCATGTTGGAAAAGGATGTTAGATACACAAGAAAAGAAGACTAGAATGAATCCTGTGGTGCTGGACTCAGTAACATCAGTGTGAATCCGTCTTTAGATGGGTGGATAGATACAAGAACAATTTGTGTGTGTGTGTGTGTGTGTGTGTGTGTGAGAGAGAGAGAGAGAGAGAGAGAGAGAGAGAGAGAGATTATGTGTGTACACGGGCTAGTATACATGCATATATTACCTAGCTCTGTTCATTGACAGGGTGAAGAAACTGTGACACTCTAGCAGTAACAAGAGTAACCAGTGCCCATAATTATGGTTTCTAGATATTGTCCAATAAAAGAAAGTAGAGCTCTTTGGAGAAATGAGACTGGTTCTAGGACTGGGCAGGGAAAATGCAAAATGAACCTGGAGCATCTTGTAGTACCAATAAGTAATGGTGCCCAAAAACAAAAAGGAAGGGGAGTGCATGTCAGAGGCAAACAAGAACCAACCTAAGAAGAGCTGTTGTGTTTTAGGTTAAGCATGGAATTGATGAGTTCTAAAAAACTTCTAATTTGCATTTCTTTGCTAGCAATATTAAATGTTGTTTTTTTGGTTTTTTGTTTCTTTACTTAGTTTGGTCATTTGTATTTTTGAAGGATCTGATCGTGACCATTTCTCATTTTTCTGTAGGAATCTTAGTAGTTTCCTAACTGGTTTGTAAGAGCTCTTTATATATAAAGTATATTACACCTTTGCCATATTTCTTGTACTAGTGTTTTTAGATACTTTAGAGACTTTTTTCCTTGTTTGTAAGGTAAGTGAACTATTCCAGGCCTACAATTATTAGTGATCAGCTCTATGAATTTATGTTAGATCGTCCCATAAAGAGGCAGCAAGGGCTACTAAATTGAATACTTACTGAAAACTCTTACAATGATAAAATCCACTTGTTCTAAATTCTTTTAGATTCAACTTCTATTGCAACAGAATATTCACTGAAATTTGATGAATCTATGACAGAAGATGAAATAGAAGAAAAATCATTTCGATCTTTACTACCTTCTGAGAGCCATCGCAGATTTAACATGGAAAAGAAAAGAGGCCATCATGATGACTCTGATGATGAAACTTCTCCGGAAAAGACAACACTGTCTTCTGCTAAGGTATGCTTCAGTTTACCTGTGGAGATTACTTCATAAACAGTTGTGGATGTGTTCTCTCGTAGATATGAGGGTACATTTTGTACTTGAATTCAGTTGTCATCTCCAGGAATGATTTTCCTAAGATAGCAATTTTATATTATACTTTTGCTATAGAATCTGGCTTTGCTTTCCTTACGAAGTACAACACAGGACTTCTTATTCCTTGGAATGATATAGAAAGGCCTTCGAGGATCTGAGCCAGTGTTATGTCTCTAGCATTTCACTTGCTTTACTCTTACTTCATTCCATTTAAAAATTTATGTTTCTATCATTCTTCTTACTAAATCGTTAGCCTTGTGGGTAACAGGGACAATTCTTACCCTGCTTTATATCCCTGGGACAGTGTCTGACTTACAGTAGTTGTTTGTTAAAATTTTATTGGTTGAATAAATTAGCAGATGAATGTTCTTCCCTCTTATGTGCCTTTTTTGAAGAATGTTCTCTGACATGGTCGGCAGCCTTTCTGTGTACATAGTTTATAAGTGCATGCCTCTTTTAACAGTGTTAATTAAGTTCCAGAGGCTTAGATGATGATAAACTTGAAATAAAATCTTCACTTTAGGAGCTGAGCATGCCATTCTCAGGAGGACAAGATAGTTTTTCTAAGTTTACGATGGAGATGGTTCGACAGTATATGAAAGAAGAGGAAATGAGGGCAGCTCACCAGTCTTCACTCCTGCGTCTCCGTGAGAAGGCCTTGAAGGAGAAAACTAAGGCTGAATTAGCCTGGTTAGAGCATCAGAAAAAGTAAGTTGTTTCAGTGAATGTAGTTTTCACTTTCTAATTTCTTCTTTCATTAAAAGAAAGCGCTTTGTTTTTAAAGATGTTTTCGTTTCTTCATTTAATTTGATCAACCCAGTTTCTCAACCTAGAAATAGGGCAGTCGTCCCTAAATCCTGTTGCTTTCGAGACCTCCTACTCATAACATTTTCTTTGCATTTCTCTTTTATCACTTGACTGATTGTTATTTTATACTGAATTCTTTTCTGTGTTGTAAACTCCTTAAAGCAATTTTATCTTTAAAGGACCCAGTCTAGTGTTTGTATATTTATATGTGCAGTAAAATATTTACTTGGTGGGATGGCCATTGCTGCGTACAGCAGTTGTTTTCCACATTTGAAGATGTTAAATTAGTTTAGAGACTTTGCAGTGGTCAAGAATTCTTGACATTAGATTAGAAGTTTAATCTACTCTTTGTCTCAATGTGAAATATTTGCAGACATCTACGAGACAAAGGAGAAGATGATAAAATGCCCCCACTTCGGAAGAAACAGCGTGGTTTGCTTTTAAGGTTGCAGCAAGAGAAGGTATGTCAGGAAAAACACTGTTTAAGAGAATTTACAGCAAGTTATGTTGTGGGATCTATTATTTTGCCTAATCTCTTTTTCTTATTATTACTTTAATAAAGTGAGATTTAGTTGATACGTACCACCGTTTTGCCTATGCTACTATAATTACAGAAATTGCTTGGTAGTCTGCTGTGTTTCTCTTAAATTAGGATTGTGTGTCACTGCTAACTTAATACAATGTAGAGTCAAACCTACCTTCATCTGTTAAATAGTCTTCTGAAATGCATATTTTAAAAATTAAGATATTTGTTGAGTCTATTTGGATTAATTTTTTGGTCTGTATTTTCCCAAATAGACTTTTAAGACATACTCATTACAAATTGACTAATATTTTGGCCCAGTGAATTCAGAAACACCTAGGATTTGAATCCTGGAGAGGTAGCATGGTATAGTGGTTAAAAATTCAAGCTCCAGAGTCTGATTGCCTGGGTTAAAATTCCAAATCTACCAATTATTAGTTTCATAACCTTGGACAAGTTACCTAACTTTCTCTGTGCCTCAGTTTCCTTATTTATAAACTGAGGATAATAATGGTAACATACTTTGTAGGGTTGTTGGGAGGAATAAATTAATACAAATAAAAAAACTTACAACAACAGACCATGGCGGAGTGGTAAGTGCGAATAAATGTTAACTGTTATTATCTGTGAAAAATGTGTTTCAGAGTGTCTGGTAAATATTCAGTGGATTCTAGTTCTTTTCCCTTATTGACCTGTTACAAGGTACTAGCCACCATATTGGATCATCTGTGAAATTAATCATTTAAGTTATATATTGGATTATTACTCAACTAGTTGTTTTTTTTTTTAAAGTTCACCCAGGAAACATCATTGATCATATGAACTTCAAAAATTTGGTATTTTTTTAAAAAAAGAAGTTATGTCTTTTTAATACAGAAAAATTGGTGTCAGAATAACTTAAAATGCTTAGTTAAAATAAGGAAATAACTATTTACAAGGTTACAGTAGCTTTCTGTTTATAAAGTAGAATAAAAGCTAGATTTACAAATATTTTCTCTCATTCTGTGGGGTTGTTTTCCCTTTTTAAATGTTTGTTTATTTTTGAGACAGAGTGCACAAGCAGGGGAGGGGCAGAGAGGGGATGACAGGATCCAAAGCGGGCTCTATGCTGATAGCAGCCAGCCTGATGTGGGGCTTGGACTCACAAACTGCAAGATCATGACCTCGGCTGAAGTCGGACGCTCAGCCGACTAAACCACCCAGGCGCTCCTTCACTTACTTAATAGTGTGCTTTGGAGCCCACGTCTTTGGATTTTGATGAATCTAATGTTTTACTGCATGCCTGCTGATAGCACATTCAGTTTTTGTTAGTTTAAAAATGTACTTGTTTCACCTTCGTTTTTGAAAGATATTTTTACTAGGCATGCAATTATTTTCTGTCAGCACTTTAAAAGATATTGTCCATTGTCTACTAGTTTCTATTGTTTTTATGAAGAGGTCAGTTGTCTTAATGGTTTTTTTTTTAATTACTTTTTTGAGTTTAATTACTTTTTTGAGAAAATTTATTTATTTTGAAAGAGAGAGAGAAAAGAGGGAAGGGGCAGGGAGAGAGAGAGAGAAAGAGAGAATCCCAAGCAGGCTCCTCGTTGTCAGCACAGAGCCCAACACAGGGCTTGATCCCCTGAACTGTGAAATCATGACCTGAGCTGAGATCAAGAGTCAGACACTTAGCCAAATGAGCCACCCAGGCGCCTTGTCTTAATGTTTTTTTAAAGACTGCTTTAAACATTTTTAAAAATTTGTCTTAGATTTTTTCATTAGTTTTACTAAGATGTGCTTAGGTGTGGTTTCTTTTCTCTTTATACTGTTTATGATTTGCTGAGCTTCTTGAATTTGTTGTTTGTTGTATTTCAGTTTTTGAAAATTACCTCTTCACGTGTTGCTTCTGCTCCCCCTCTCTCCCTCATTCTCTTCAGAGGCTCCAAGTAGAAATATGTTAGACCTTTTGACCATTTACCACATCTCTCTTCTACTCTGTTTTTTTATATCACCCTCTTTAGAAACAATAAAATAAAAAAACACTATGCTTCAATTTGGAAAGTTTCTATTGATCTGTCTTTGAATTCATTAGTTATATCTTCTCTCCTGTCATGTGTTCTGTTAAATCAGCTGATGAGTTCTTCATGTGATTTTTCTTAGTTCTGTAACATCTATTTTCTTCTTTTTTTTTAAATAGATTTTACCTTTTCATCAGTTTCTCTATGTTTTCCCACATTTTTTTGAACACGTTGTTCATAGTCATTTTAACTTTCTTGTCTGCTAACTAGATTTTGGACATATGTGTGTGTGTGTGCTACTGTTTGCTCTTTGTATTTTCTATTATCATATGATTATTTTTCTTTGCATGTCTAGTAAATTTTTATTCAATGCCGGACAATGTGTAAGTAACTGCAAAGGCTCCAAATGATGCTATCTTCTCACAGAGAGGGCTTATTTTTCCCTCTGCCCTGCAGTTAGAGTGCTCAGCTATTCACTTTAATCCGTTCAGGGACTGAGCTGGGCTAGTGTTGGGTTGCAGAGTTAGTAGGCCTCAGTCTACTAGGCCTCTGCTTTTTCATTCACCCTAGGTTGTAACCCCTAGGCATTTCAGTGGAAAGTTAGGTAAACTTATTTTACCAGTATAAGAGACTGCTATTGAGAGGTTTCTGGCTCCTTAGTCTTCTGTCTATACTGCTTAAGAAAGGCAAATGCTTTGAAGGAGATACTGCATTGGAAGCCTCTTGAGTCTCCAGTTCTGTCACATCAGGTCTGTGTACCTGTGAGAGTGGTGACTGGTGTAACCGTTTTGAGAGTGGTTTCATTATATCTAGTTATATTGATAGCACATATAATCTAGGACTCAGCAGTTCTGTGTCTTGGTATAAATCCTAGAAATGCTTTCACATGCGTACAGAGGAAAATGGAAGCAGCTTAATTTTTTCATGAAGAGAATGGATAAAATGAAGCATGTTCCTGCCAGAAAGTACAATACTGCAGGAAAACGAATGCATTACATTTCAGTAATGTTCAATAGAGATTTCTGAAATGACATTGATGTTCTATATCTGTGCTGTCTGATACAGTAGCTACTAACCACGTGTAATTTTTAAGTATTTAAAACATGGCTAGTGCAACTGAGAAACTGAAATTTTAATATTATTTAATTTTAATTTAAATAGCTACATGTAACTGTGGCTACCATGTTGAATAGTGATAGCAGTAGATCTTTATCAAAAATCGTAATATTGGCTTTTATACAAAAGCAGGATGCAAAAGAATACATACAGTATGATACCATTCTTATAAATTTTTTTTTTTTTTTAAATTTTTTTTTTTCAACGTTTATTTATTTTTGGGACAGAGAGAGACAGAGCATGAACGGGGGAGGAGCAGAGAGAGAGGGAGACACAGAATCGGAAACAGGCTCCAGGCTCTGAGCCATCAGCCCAGAGCCCGATGCGGGGCCCGAACTCACGGACCGCGAGATGGTGACCTGGCTGAAGTCGGACGCTTAACCGACTGCGCCACCCAGGCGCCCCGAAATGTTAAATTTTTTAAGTCACGAATCAGAAATGTATGTTTTATGGACTCACTCCTGTACGTATGGACTCTTACATGTACAAAAGTACATATAAAAATGATAAATTCCTGGGGAGGGAATGGGAGAAGGGATTGGGGTGTTCAGTTTTATCTATAATGATATATTTTTGAAACAGAAAGATTTGAAACATATATGGGCAAACTTTTCAATCCCAGTGGTTGGTGTTTGAGTGACAAATTTTTCTACATATCATGTTTATAGTACTTCATAATGTTTTTTAAGTAAATGTGCAAAAAATACTCTGAACCAACTGTCTACTCCTGGAAAGTTGCCCTACAGAAATAAAAATACCAGCTTGGAAAGACGTATGTACTAAGTTATTTATTACAGTTGTATCAATTTTAGTATATGTGCTGCTGAAGTAAGCATATTAGGGTTGTATCAGTAAGAATTATTTTGACTGGTAGTGAGATGGCTATGACCAATTTGGCCACATATCTTTGTACAACTGTATCCAAAAAAGAGAGAACATATTTTCCTATGTTATGTTCTTTTTTTTTTTTTTTTGAGATAAAATTTACATAGCTTAGAATAACCATTTTAAAGAGTATTTCACTTATACCATTAACCATTTTAAAGTGAGCAGTTTGCTTGTACAACCTTATGGCTTATTCTGAAAAGAAGAGCAAACCTTTTCCTCCAAGAACCGCCTTCAGACAGTTTCTTCACTCTTCTAGATTTGGATTGGGTGAATTTATATATTAATTGGTTCAGAAACCCAGGCCTAACCTATAATAGCAGTTTTTCAAAAGGTACTCTATGGAACTCTCAGGTCCCTGATACCCTTTCATGGATTAAGGAGGTCAAAACTATTTTCCCAAAAGTGGGATATGAATTCACCCTTTCCATGTGTCGACATTTGTGCTAAGTGGTACAAAAACAATGGTGTAAATCTGCTAGTGCCTTAGCACAAATCAGGTCAGTGGCACCAAACTGTCTAGTAATCGTCATAGTTTTCACCACCTCACGCTTGAAGCTAAAAAAAAAAAAAAAAAAAAAAAAAAAAAAAAAAAAAAAAAGCTAGTTTCACTGGAGTATGTCTTCAGTAGTAAAAATTGCTAATTTTACTCAGTGTTGACATTTGAGTACTTGTCATTTTCCATACTCTGTGTGACAAAAATAGGAAGCCCAAAAGTAAGCACTTTTGTTAGATACCAAAAGACAGTGATTAACTCAAGGAAAGGTGTTTGTGTAGTGTTTGAATTGCAAGCTAAACTAGCTACTTTTTTTTTTTTTTTATGGAATATCATTTTTCCTTGAAAGAATTATTCAGAGGCAATCTGTTTATTCAGATTTGGGTATTTGACAGTCATTTTCTCAAAAATGAACAAAGTGTGCCTGTCACTTTAGAGAAAGCAGCAGTGACAGTATTTGTTGGCGATGACAAAATTCAGACTTTCAAGTAGAAGTCATTATTTTGGGGGCAACTGGGTGGCTCAGTCAGTGAAGTGTCCCACTTTGGCTCAGGTCATGATCTTGTAGTTTGTGAGTTCGAGCCCCACGTCGGGCTTTGGGCTGATAGCTCAGAGCCTAGAGTCTGCTTCAGATTCTGTGTCTCCCTGTCTCTCTGCCCTTCCCTGTACTCACTCTGCCTCTCTCTCAAAAATAAACAAACATTAAAAAAAATTTAAGAAAAAAAAGAAGTCATTATCTTGGACAATTTCTATCCACCACCTAATACTAAAGAACTTTTGAGATCTGTGGTGATAAGAAAGAATGTGATTTTTTGATACCGTATAATGAAATGCGTCAACATTAGGAAGATCTGCATAACTGATTGAACTGACATTTTCCAAATGACCAATGCATGATGTTAAAAAAAAAAAAATCAAGCCAGACAATTAAAGAGATTTGGAAAAAATCTAAATACTACTCTTCTCACAATTTTTTTTTTTTTGGAAAATATAGTTATTTTCTTTAAAATGCATAGTGTTATCGTATGTTCACGAGAGAGCAAGAGTAAACAAGGGCAAGTAATGTCTTAGTATTATGAACAGAGTTTGACCCTGAGAGTCCCCTGAAAGGACCTTGGGAACCCTCTAGAGTCCATGGACCTTAGTTCAAGAACTTCAGCTCCAGAGAAATCTGTACATGTGCCCAAGGAGACAGACAATGTAAGCCTCTTCATTGTAGCATTGTTGTAATAGTAAACAACAACTTTATCCAAACATAGAGGTAATGGACACATGAAATATTACATGCCTCCAATGTTATGCAGCATTTAGGTATAAGTCAACACAGAGAGCTATCAAAAGTAATGACTAGCAAATAAAGCAAGATTGAAAATATGAATATGTGATATTATTTCTAAAATATTAAAAAACATAAACCAAACAATGTAATGTTTTTTGCAGGTAAGTGTAAATATTTGTGGAAGAATTTTAAAAGAATGTGTTGGAAGGATATATACCATGGTAGTGATTACCTGTAAGGACTTAGGGCAGAGGACATACACTGATTTTATCTGTAATGTTTTATTGCTTCACAAAATAAAGACTATGATAAAATATGATAGAATATTAACAGTTATTAATATGAGATTTTAGAAATTAGATATTTTTATGCACTTTTCTACATGTTCAGTGTTTCCAAAAATCAAATATGATTAAAAGAAATTATAAGTTGCAAATTATTCCTGTCTTTATTATGCGACAGGAACACAGATTAAAACACATTTATGATAAAACCATGACAATCTCTTAAATTTTAACTATTATTAACAGTGAAGTGAATCACCTTTTGCCCACTTTTTAAATGGCCAACAGAAAACTTAATACCCTGGTTGGAGAGTTTGGTGCAATGAAGTCTTAAATGTTTCTGGTGGCAATTTAAGTAGAGACAGTTCTTTTTTGAAAGCAATCTTTAGGGGCGCCTGGGTAAAACCAAGCATCGACTTCAGCCAGGTCGCGATCTGCATGCAGTCCGTGAGTTGAGCCCGCGTGACTCTGTCTGGGCTGATGGCTCAGAGCCTGGAGCCTGTTTCGATTCTGTGTCTCCCTCTCTCTGCTCCTCCCCGTTCGCTACTCTGTCTCTCTCATCCCAAAATAAAATAGCGTTGAAAAAAAATTAAAAAAAAAAAAAAAAGAAAGCAATCTTTAAATGATTTTGAGGGCCGTAATATGATTCATCCTCTCTGACTTGTTTCTCCTACCTTTTGGAATCTCTCCTTAAATCCATAGTATGAAACGGTTATGGCATGAAAGCATTCTTTGGGATGATAAAAAAATTACAAGTGGCCCGAGTTTAGCAGTAGAATAATGGTTCCATTAACTACTTTATCTGTTATGCAACTATTAAACAAGTGTAAAGACCGTATGGAAAAATGTGGAGGGTATCTTACGTTTAAAAGGGGGACAGGAGGGTGCCTGGGTGGCTCAGTCGGTTAAGCATCTGACTTTGGCTCAGGTCATGATCTCACAGTTCGTGAGTTTGAGCCCTGCGTTGGGCTGTGTGCTGACAGCTGAGAGCCTGGAGCTTGCTTTGGATTCTAGATCTCCCTCTTTCTCTGCCCCTCCTTTGCTCATGCTCCATCTCTCTCTTTCTCTCTCTCTCTCTCTCCTCTCTTTCTCTTTCTCTCTCTCTCCCACAAATAAATATTTAAAAAAAATTAAAAGGAGGACAGGTGGGGCGCCTGGGTGGCTCAGTCGGTTGAGCGTCCGACTTCACCTCAGGTCACGATCTCGCGGTCTGTGAGTTCGAGCCCCGCGTTGGGCTCTGGGCTGATGGCTTAGAGCCTGGAGCCTGCTTCTGATTCTGTGTCTCCCTCTCTCTCTGCCCCTCCCCTGTTCATGCTCTGTCTCTCCCTGTCTCAAAAATAAATAAACATTAAAAAAAAAAAAAAAAGGAGGACAGGAAATTATTAGTCTGTTATAGTAATAGTTATTTAAAATTAAGGGATAATGTTAAGTTATTTTAGCATGTTACGGGGTTATCTGACTCTTTTTTTTCCTCCACGATTTAAAATTTTTTCAATATTATTACTTTTATCTTGAAATACTATATGTTTTTATTTTTGATATGATATGATATGATATGATATATATTTTGATATATTCTTAAAATATTACTGTGGACTTGTGTCCTCCAAATCTCAATCCCTCTCCTAACTCTTTAAACCTTAGGCGGAAATTAAACGTCTTCAAGAAGCCAATAAGGCAGCTCGAAAGGAAAGACAACTAATTCTTAAACAGCAGGAGGAGATAGAGAGGATCCGACAGACCACCATGAAATTACAGGAAAAGCTGAAGTCAGCAGGGGAGAATAAATTGGTAAATTACATAAAATTACTATTTGTTTTCTGTCTCATGTTGCTTGCTAATAATCCCTAACCCTGCCTCAGTTTCTCATATGATGGACATGTTCCTTCTAGCACTGTGATACCATAAGGTACTGGAATAAAGTTCTATGTCTGCACCCTTATATATAATGACAGTTTTAATTTTTTTCCCATGGAGTATTCAAGTTTTGAAAGGGACACATGGTTCATATAATAGTTGAAAAATGTTTTCCATTCATAAACTCAGTTTGAACAGAGTACCTTGCTTTTGCTTATCAATCCAAATATATTCCTCAGAATTAATGAGAGAGATTATTTTTGCTCATTTTACTTATGTTAGCTATCCTATGTTAATACAATGATACAGGAGTGAAAGGAGGTATTCAGACAAAAGCAAAATGTGGATCTATTCTGAGATACTGTGAGATGTCAATATAGTGTCGGAGAACCCAGACTTATAGCTGTATAAATAGTTATATATTTTATACATTTATATATATTTATATTTATATATATGTTTTATGTATATATAAACAGTTATATAGTTTATAAATAGTTAAAGTCTCTCATATTTTCTGCTTTGATTTTTAAAATACACCTTAAATTTTGAAACAACCCCAAATTTATAGAAAATTTCAAACACAGTACAAAGAACTCTGTCTTCCTGAGTTGAAAGTGACAGTTCTCCAACTGTCACAATAATGTGCTTTATATCAAAAGGTAAGTTCAGTTAGAGTGGGAGAGAGCCAAAGCATAAGAGACTGTTAAAAACTGAGAAGAACAAAACTGAGGGGTTGATGGGGGTGGGAGGGGGAGGGTGGGTGATGGGCTGACAGGGAGGGCACCTTTGGGATGAGCACTGGGTATGGAAACCAATTTGACGATAGTTTCATATGTTAAAAAAAAAAAGAATTAAGTTCAGGGGCGCCTGGGTGGCTCAGTCAGTTAAGCGTCCAAAGGCTTGGCTCGGGTCACGATCTCTCGCGGTACGTGGGTTTCCAGGCCCGCGTCAGGCTCGGGCTGATATTCGGGCCAGGCCTGGAGCCTGCTTCGATTCTGTGTCTCCCTACTCTCTCTTTTTGCCTCCCCATTCATGCTCTGTCTCTCTCTGTCTCCAAAAAATAAATAAAAGTTTAAAAAAAAGCAAAAAAAAAAAGAAAGGTAAGTTCAGAATCACATACTGCATTAAGTTCTCATGTGTCTGTATTCTCCTTAGTGGAAAAGTTGCTTGACTCCTTATAGCACTTCACGCTTTGATCACATACAGTTATTTTTTTGTAATGACATGTTTCTCAGCTTGGTTGTCTGATACTTCCTCATATGAGTAGGTTCAGGTTGTGCCTTTGGCTGGAATATCACAGACATGATGCTTGTGTTCTCCCTTGCATTCAGTCAGGGGTGTATTATCTGTTTGTTGGTTATCCCACTGATGATGTTGACTTGACTTGATCGCTTGATTAAAGATTGGTGGCTCATCGGAACTCTACTATACAAGTTACTTTTCTTCTGCTCTTTTATAGTTAAATAAATACTTTGCATGGTTATTTTTTTAGTACATTAAATATATTAAAAAAATTTTTTTTATGTTTATTTTGAGGAGAGAGACGGAAATGTCAGAATAGGGAAAGAACTTGAAGAGAAAGACTCACCCCCACACCTAGAGTCTACAAACAGGCTCCGATCTGAAAATGAGAGCCCGATGTGGAGACCTGAACTCAAAAACTGTGAGATCATTGTGAGGTTGGCACTCAACCAACTGAAGGCACCAGTCACCCCTGCATGAGTTACTTTGAGACTACATAAATTCTTGTTTTCATTAAACTTATTGTTTCATTTGTATCAGTATAGTTTAGTTCTACTTTTACTCAAAGATTGAATCTGTTACTGTCATTCATTTTGATGCTCACTTTGCCCCAAATCAGACTATTTCAAGTTTCTTTTCAGTTTTTTTTCTGTGTCCTTGTGACATGTCCCCAGATCCTTTTGAGCACTTCCATAACACTGCAACAAGATGTCTCCATGGTGGTTTTGTACCTTCGTTGCTAGTTTGATCAGCTGTTTGTCAGGAGGAAAGTTCTTTAAAAAACCAGTGGGCATGCTCATTGCTATTCGGGTTTGTACCTCCTAAAACAAAAGAAATCTAGAGAATATATGGTTTTATGTGAATATGTAATAAAAATATACATTTTACATGTATATTTCTGTATGTACATATTCATGTATTATATATATATATGTATATATATACCTGTATATATATATACACACACACACACACACACACACACACGCACACACATATGCAATGAGTTCATGCTGATTCTTAGATTTCTAATCCAGCCATGGGTTCCATTCTGGTTTTCTCTCTTCTGAAACTTCCTTCTCTGACAGACAGCTGGGTTAACATTTTCGTAATATAGATAATTATTTGATCATTCTTCTGTGTAACCCGTCTCCATAACCTCCACCCCTTTCCTCATGTCGATAGCCTTCTCAGCCCCTGGAACCTGACTCCCAAGTCAAGCTCTCCCCCCCCCCCCCGCCCCAATCTCTTGCCCTTTCTCTGTTCTCTTCTTACCCTCTTTGCACTCTGTTCTCTGTGGGAATGCCACCTCACTCTGTTTGGGCTTGTGACATGCCATGTAGGACTGCTTCCATGTGGACATCCGCATTGTTCCACTTGGGCTCGGACTTAGCACACAGGCCACCCTCCTGTGTTAGAGGCCCTCTTCATCTCGCTCCATTCAGCACACACACCTTATTCTGTGTGTGACGGCCTTGTTCTGCAAAATAAAACAGCATGATTATTTCCTATTCTTCCTGAAAGAAGTTATGAACACCAGTGGTGATGTTGTGGGAAGAAAGGCCCCACCCCGCGCCAGCTCTAGGGACGCCTGGATGGCTCAATCCATTGAGCATCCGACTCTTGATTTTGGTTCAGGTCATGATCTCAGGGTTTGTGGGATCAAGTTCCTCGTTGAAATCTGCACTCACAGCACAGCGGCTGCTTGGGATTCTCTCTCTTTCCCTCTCTCTCTGGCCCTCCCCCACTTGCTCATGCACTCTCTCTCTCTCTCTGCCTCTCAGAATAAATACACTTTTTTTAAAAAGCCCAATTGTTCTAAATCCTTTCACTGTAATTTTTTTTTAAATTTTTTTTCAATTCACTGTAATTTTTAAGTTGAGAAAATACTTTTTTCGTTATAAATGAAAAAAGATCCATCCCTCAGTATTATTAAAATTAATTATGTGTTCCCTTCATTCTTTTTTAAAAAAGTTTTTTAGTGTTTGTTTATTTTTGAGAGAGAGACAGAGTGCAAGTGGGGGAGAGGCAGAGAGAGAGGGAGGCACACAATCTGAAGCTCACACAATCTGAGCTGTCAGCACAGAGCCTGATGCGGGGCTTGAACTCACAAACTGCAAGATCATGACCTGAGCTGAAGTCGGACGCTCAACCGACTGAGCCACCCAGGCGCCCTGCTCTTCATTCTTTTGTCTGTATGTATAAACGTTACAGTGTCTGTAGTTTTGTATTTCTTTTGAGTGGTTCAATTTAAAAGAAATTAGGACAGGGGCGCCTAGGTGGCTCAGTTGGTTAAATGTCTGACTTTGGCTCAGGTCATGATCTCGCGGTTCATGGGTTTGAGCCCTGGGTCAGGCTCTGTGCTGACAGCTCAGAGCTTGGAGCCTGCTTCTGATTCTGTGTGTGTGTCTCTCTCTCAGCATTACCCCCCCGCCCTCCCCTCCCTCCACCGCCCCACCCCACTCATGCTCTGTCTCTGTCTCCGTCAAAAATAAACATTAAAAAATTAAAAAATAAATAAAAGAAATTAGGACAGGTACTAGTTTGCTAGCAACAGAAGATTTTGGATTTTTTTCACATCTTATAAGAAATTATTACACTTTGTGATTATATATAAATATATGTAAGATATACATAACAAAATCTATATTTTAGCCATTTTCAAATATGTGATATAATCTTGTCTTTTAAGTAATGCTTTTATTTCTACTTTCTTATAAATATGATTTTGATAAACATAATTTTGAAATAACAGTGTTTAAGATCACTTTGAGATCTTAAATTCCAGTAAAATTGTAAAACTTTACCCTCCTTTGTTTACAGGACTCTCATAGTGACGATGATACAAAGGATAATAAGGCAACCAGTCCTGGTCCAACTGACTTGGAGACCCGCAGTCCTTCCCCCATTTCAATCTCCAGCAGTGAAACTAGCAGCATTATGCAGAAACTGAAAAAAATGAGAAGCCGCATGGATGAAAAGTAATTCATTTTTATAAATATCTCCTGTTCACATTGAAAATGATAGCAACAAATGTCTTTAATGTACCTCATTAGATTAGGTTGATAAAACATAATATTTTATGAATTCAGTAGCATTTTAGCAGAATTATTAAATCAACCTAGAAGTCAGTTGACTATAGATCTTGTTATAAAACAAATTTTCTTGTTTTTAATACAGTCAGATTTCTTATTTTAAAAACCAGCATAGTGGGGCGCCTGGGTGGCTCAGTCGGTTGAGCGTCCGACTTCGGCTCAGGTCATGATCTTGCAGTCTGAGTGTGAGCCCCGCGTCGGGCTCTGGGCTGACAGCTCAGAGCCTGGAGCCTGTTTCAGGTTCTGTGTCTCCCTCTCTCTCTGCCCCTCCCCTGCTCATGCTCCGTCTCTCTCTCTCTCTCTGTCAAAAATAAATAAACATTAAAAAAGAATTAAAAAAAATAATAAAAACCAGCATAGTGATTGCACATATACCCATGACAATGTTTCCATCTTTCTTTCATTGAAAGCTAAAAATAAGTGGGAAATTTATACTTCTCTGAAATCGGTGGATGTGTCTACTGACTTAGGGAAGCAGTTAATGGTGTATCCTGAGATCTCATGCTGTGGCTCACTGACCACTCCGGGCTTAGGTCAGATAGAAATTTTAACCCGTGAGTAGGTGTGGATTGTTCAGTTGAAACTAGAAAAACTGAAATTCTCCTGGGATGTTGAATGCTTTGGCAGTCTACCATTCTTCTAAAACATTACTAAGTATTATTTTTTTAGAAGCTCTTTTAAAGAACGCTACTTCTACTTAAATGTAGCTCAGTTGTGTGTTGACATTGACCATATGAAGTTACATGTACGTGAGAGTCTACTCTTCTGGGTGTAATTAAATATGCTTGTCAAGTTGCTGTTTGTGGACTCTATCCTTGACTTTATAACAATTTCTACCTTCTTTAAATACGAAAGACAGACCCATTAAAACGTTTGACCTTTATTTTATTTTGTTAACAGTTTGAACCACAGATTGAACTTCAGTTGTACTGATATCTTTTGTCAGTGTACCACACATCACCAAATTTAATAATGCTCTGTATTTATATGTGACATCAACCTATGAGTTAATTAGCTTTTGAATAGTCAGACAGTTGTAAATCAAACCTGATTACCATAGGTGTAGTGTTATATGTTGGCACCTATTGCTTAGTTAAATTGTATTTCATAACTTTAAAATACCTAAGTTGGTTATGAAGATAAGTTTAAAAAATAAATACACATTTTTAAAATAAATAAAAAGAGGTGAAACCAAATATTTACAAATGTGTAAGTATTCCTTTTGGATAATTCCATGGGATAGTTTAAATAAGGCTTTTTAAAAAATATAGGAATTTATTGAAATGTAGACTAAAGATGCTTTCTTTCTTTCCTAATAAAATTTCCCAAAGCCTGTATAGGCATACTGTTTTACTTCAGAGATTTTTGAATTCAGAATTATCAGTCTCGTGAATTTTTATATTATAGCTGACCTGACATTTTATATATACCTCCAAATGTCTTTGGTAAATGTTGGAGGAAAGACAGCTTCAGGAATAATTTCTTCATTGATCCCTTGCTCATCTATATTAGTAAGATACTCATTGCTGGTCTTTATGAATAATATTCTGATAATTTTGATCACATAGAAGAAGAAACTGCTAATCCTAGTCTGTTTATGAGATGAGTTAGTTCATGTAGCTGCTTATTTCAGATTTGGTTAAAGCTTTAAAAATTCTAAATAACAAATTCAAGGTTGAACTTACTGATTTTGTTCCAAGTTTTATTAATTATTTTCTCAGAATCCAAAATATTAAACACATAGAAGTTTTGTGTTATTGTTCTACCTTTGTCAACTGCTGCAGGAACCATTTGAGAAATTCAAAGAAATAGGCCTCGAAAGATTCAGTGACTTGATGTGTGTTTGAAGCAGTGCGGTTGTGTTTGTGGGTAGGATGAGGTAAGGACAGCGGTGGCAAAGGAATTAGTTTTAATGTTTAATGATGGTGCCGAAATTTGAGGATGAACTGGAGTATTTTTCAAAAATAGCGATGCCCTATAAAAGAAGATTATTGTTATGCAATGCTTTTTGATCTCTAGAACAAAATAATGTGAAAACTGGTTTTTATATACCATCCAGATCACCAGAACTTTATCATGAGATCTCTTTTAACAATATTGAGCCACCCAGGCACCCCAACAATATTGGAATGTCGGTAGAAATGCCATTAAATAGAATGAGTTCATTTTATAGTCAACAAAATCATTTGAGCCTTTGCTGCTAGGCACTATTAATTTGTTCTGTAGATTTGCAAAGGCAGTCTCCCAAGAGATTACTATTTTATTGATATAAAACACCTGTCAAAAAGTATTCCTCCCTCAGTAAGTTTAGCTAACTATTGAGAAGAACTTTTTCACTATATACTATTGCTTATTGTTAACCCTCTGATTCTATGACAGATATTTCTCTAAAGCAATCAAACTGTTCTCGGCTATCGTGAAAGATTTCCTTCTTTAATGTGTCATTGAGACAGCAATGCCTTTGTTAAAACTTGTATGTCTAATTTATGGCTTTTCCCGACCTTTTTATTGATCTGACATTATATAAATAATTTCCATTTCTCAGTGTAGTGAAAAGCAAAAGAAATTTAAGTTGTGAAAAAGATTTGTAATAATATATGTTTCAGGAGCCACAGAGTGAATAGCCCTCAGTCTTTTTGGTACTGTTGCAAGTGAAATCTGAGTTTTGGTTATCATTGTGAGGGGCATTGTTTACAATATAAGTGCATTGCCTGTAATCCTGAAACATATATTCATGAAGAAAACACAATGCAGTTGACTTCTTCTGTTAATTTGCCAATTCCATTTCAGGGAAATTTTTTACTGAGCAAATAAAACAGAAAGAATGGGTTTATCTTCAAGTGTTAAAATAGGATACAGTACATTTTCTCTTTCATTTAATAGCAACTATTCTTTTATATTATTTACTAAATATATACTTATTTTTAGCAATTATTTATTGGGGAATGTATGAGTGTGCTAGGTCTGAGAGATACGAAGGTGAATCAAACAGAAACCTTGACCTTAAAGAGTATATGGTCTAGGTGGAAAAAACAAATGTTGGTTCCTTTAGAGAAGTGTATATAGATTAATTGCTCAGAAATTCAGAGGAAGAAATTTCTACTGAAAAAATATATCAAAGCAATTTTCATGGGTGAGTGTTCTGAGTTAAATATACTTTTGAATAAGTAAGTACTTTAATAGCATAAGAAGAAGTGAAAAAAATCCCACAAACATATAGTTATATTTTGGTTTGATCATTGCAGACCAAGTTAGCAAAAAATGAAGTCAGAACTTCGGAAACATTCATTTTAAATATTTTAAAATATTCCCAGTTAGCTTAGAAACCATTAAAGGAGCAAATTAACTTACTTGGTTTTAAATAATCATAAAGTTAAACAGATAAATATTGTATGACATAGATGTGTCTAAAAATATTTGTGGTAGTGTCCGATAAATATTAAAATCTTCACCATTAATCTGCTGAGTTAAAAAGTTAAGGATTTGTGGGGCGCCTGGGTGGCTCAGTGGGTTAAGTGTCTGACTTCGGCTCAGGTCATGATCTCATGGTTTGTGAGTTTGAGCCCCATGTCGGGCTCTGTGCTGACAGCTCAGGGCCTGGAGCCTGCTTCAGATTGTGTGTCTCCCTCTCTCTCTGCCCCTCCCCTGTTCGCACTTTGTCTCTCTCTCTCTCTCTCTCTCTCAAAAATAAATAAACATTAAATTTTTTTTTAATTAAAAAAAATTAAAAAAATTAAGGATTTGCAAGGGAAGACTTTTGATATTCCATTAAAGAAGACATTTTCATTAGAATTTTAAAAAGTGTGTTGTGGCGCCTGGGTGGCTTGGTCGGTTAAGCGTCCGACTTCAGCTCAGGTCATGATCTCACAGTCTGTGAGTTCGAGCCCCGCGTCGGGCTCTGTGCTAACAGCTCAGAGCCTGGAGCCTGTTTCAGATTCTGTGTCTCCCTCTCTCTCTGCCCCTCCCCTGTTCATGCTCTGTCTCTCTCTGTCTCAAAAATAAATAAACGTTAAAAAAGAAAAAATAAAAAATAAAGTGTGTTAAATATCATTGCCTTAAATTAGGAATAGAATTTTCTTTGAGAAGGTTCTAGAATGAATGAATCCTGATAGTCTGATAATTTTCTTTACTTTCTAGGTTAGGAATAATATACCTGCATTTTGTTTATTTAAGTATATGCAAATTATTAGACACTTTTAAGTAATAGAATAAATTTTGCTTGAGAAAAAATACAAGAATTCATTTTCTTTTGTCAGTACTATCCATATCCTCATATTCCTCATATCATTAAAAATGCTTAAAGACTAGAAGAATTAATTCATTTTAAAATTTAAAACACTGTGTTTCATTTTTACGTATTTACAATATAGAATTAATTTTTGGTCCAGAAACAATTTTAAAATGATTTAAAGTATTAGATTTTTGTTTGTTTTATTTAATATTTTTCAGAGTCAAATGATTTTACAACTCACAATTTCATTTAAAATTTACATTGTAATTTTACTCTTTCAAATTATAGCATGGTTTTATAATATGTTGGAACATAATCTACAATTATATTAGCTCAGTGGGAAAAAAGCTTCTCATTTATGTCACATGATCTAGCAGTATGTTGAGGTAGCAGTATGTTGAGGTATTTAAAAAAATGTGAGGAGGTACTTGGAGAAAGAGTTGGAAACTGCTGGAACTAAAAGGTCTCTTAGGGACGTCATCTAGTTTAGTCCTTTGGTTTCACAGGAAGAAATTGAGGCCATGGACATAAGTGATTCATCCCACATCTCACACGTTGCATAGTGGCAGGGCTAGAACTCAGACCCTGCTTTCTGGATGCCAGCCAGCCAGAGTTAACGTTGAGTTAAGTTAGCATATCTGCTTTCAACCTCCTAGCTTAAAAAAAAAGAAAAACTACAGTGATGACTTAGAGTTATCTCTGTAGAAATTGACCCTTCTAAATAAATAGGATTTGTTTAAATTGGAAGAGTGCTCAGTGGCTGTTTATCTGTATATGTGTAGAGTTTAGAGTGTGAAAGTATGACTTTAAAAGAGAACTAATTACTCATGAATTTCTTAAGATTAAATAAGAACATGATGATTTACATACTAGATTAAATCTATTTTGTATCTAATTGTCCCCAGTCCAGTGTTCTGTTAAGCATCCTTGCTGCGGGATGCCTTGACACCAACCATAACGCATATTAGCAGCATTTTCTATTAGTAGGCATTTATGTCTCCATCATTTACAAATTTCTTTCTTATTTGTGCAGCATCTTGGAGGATTGTTAACTGTAGTGTGAAGTACTGCCTTTTTTTATTTCAACTTTATTTTATTTAACTTGTAAAGGACACTACTTCTAGAATACACATATATTAAATCAAGAACATGTGTTTCTGGGAAGAAGTTTTAACTTTAAGTTAAACTTTTCTCATACTGCATCTTAAACTATTTTCATCTCTTTTTCTATTAGCTATTTTTTTGTTGTTGTTCATTCCCAACCTAGAGCTTTTGAATATGCTTAATCCTTATAAATGAAAAATAAATGGTCAGTACTTGTTCTAATAGAGAAAATTGTTATTCTCTATATTGGGTTAGACAAATTTAAATTGTATCTTTTTTACAGTTTATTTTTCATGTTTCAATATCATTCTACTTTTTATACTAGGTCATGCATGCATTTAGCAGTTATGTACTTAAGAGGGTGGGTGATATTTGAATATTATGAATAGATTTTTTGGACCATTTGCTGAGTAATTTGTTTTTCCATATTTTGATAATTAGCATCAAAATAAGTTTATTATACATTCATAAAGAATGGCAAGGAAGATTGCAGTGTCTTACTAAAATTTGACAAAATTGTTTTTCCTTGAACTTCAGTGCAGAAAATCCAGGCAATCCAGATACGAATGTGTATGTATGTGTGTGTGTATATATATATATAAGTATATGAAGGGGAGGAGAAATATTAAGTTGTATGTGGGGAAACAGACATTGAAATAGTCTGTTATCTAAAGATACATGTGTAAGCAAGATTCTACATACTTTTAAAATCCAAATGAGCGGCTGGATTTATACCTAGATTTTCTCACTTCTGTGACATACTGATATTATTCCTTGCCCTTCCAAGGCAAAAAGCGTTGCCTTGATCTATAGGTTATTGTTGTGTGCATGTGAACAGGAGCATGCTCTGTCAAAGAGAATTAACCTTTCAAACTATTACTAGATTTAGTTATCCTTTCGAATATATATATATGATTTATTTACTATTTAAATAGTAAAGAAGAGAAACTAGTGGGTTTTTTCTACTTTTATAACTCTAACACATGAAATTTTCTTCTTACCTTTAACTTTATGATTGAGCTGTCCACAGCATGATTTATTTTTTATTTATTTTTTGCTGCTGGGAGTATTTATTGCAACAAGCTTACGTTATTCTTAATTATGCATCCTCATATTTTATAGAATGGATATGGTATTTCAATCTTACTGAAGTGGGCCTTTGTTAAATATAAAGCACGATACCTCCAGTAGGTCCTGTGAGCAGTAAGTTTTATGTGGGAGAGGTGAATAAGACATTTTTACTATAAATTTAATTTCCAAATTCTTTTCAAGCTAGATCATGATGGTAAGGTCAAATAAGGCAAATGCAGTGGTTTTTATTTATTTAATTTTAATCTTAAAATAGATGACAAGGTACAGATACAAAAATCATTTGCTCAGGGTTACATATGTTTGTATAATTGCTGATGTACTAGGTTCACAGCCATAGTTGTTGTACTCTGTGTTAAAGCTTATGGGAAAACTTACTTAGCTCCACACTGTACTTTACTCACAAACAAGTAAATTTACCTGAAACTATAAGTAATGGTTAAGCAACATCTGAGGAGAAAGGCATGTTTATTCAGAAATCACTGGTAAGATCTATAATAGCACATGTTTTATATGTCACACAGAGTATAACACTTGCTTTGACGGAGTAGCTTGTAATGTTATTCAGGAAGCATATTAAAAGTTCTCCGCTCAGCTCTTATGCTTTCCCTTTCTCACTCTTCTGCCTCTTGGTCCCTTGGTTTTAAAATCTGCCTCCTTATTTTGTAGACACTGCTCTCCTGTTCACTACTTCTTCTCTGTCTTTACGTCTCACCACTGGGCCTCTCTCAGTGTCTGTTTTCCCAACCTTCATCCCAAATTCCAGCTGTATATCTACAACCAGTTGGTCAGGTAACTTTGCACCTTTTTCAGTGCACTCTTTGATAGAGCATGCTCTGTTCTTTTTGTTTGTTTTGTTTGCTTTTTTTTCTTTTTCTTTTTTTTCATAACAGCCTGGAGCCTTCTTGTCAAATGTCCCATAGATGGTACCTTTTTGTTTCCACATTAATTTGACATGCTGATTGTTCAAGAAGCGGAATGACAGTTTTTGTGATTTTTATTAAGTGTTCGTTGGATGTGTGAACGCATTTTTGTTGATTAGCTACCAATACAGATCTAACACCAATAACATGAGCAGCCCACCTTTTATTTGGCTGTGGCATCTACGTTTGAGGAGAGTTTAATAGTAGCTTTTTAAACTACTCAGATAACTTTTCCTAAATCAGAAATTTCTCTAAATCCTTTGGAGCTAAGATATATCGAGCTATTGAATTTCAGAGATCAGGTTAAATTGAGAAATTTGAGGCATTTGGTGCATCCTTTTACTCAAGTAAATAAAGTTATGTTTATATGCATAAGGCATCTGACTGTGGTGCTGTGTTCTCTCCATAATTATCACCCGACTTTGCATCTCTGAGGCAATAGGAACCAAAGAGGGGTATAGTGAGTGATACCTGAAATAAAACCAGACTGAATTTGAAAATAAAAGTCAAAAAGGGACATGGACACGTTTTTTTTGTTTGCTTGCTTGTTTGGGGGCTTTGAGATTTGTTTTTTGTTGTTGTTTTGGTCTTTGTTGTTTTGGTTTTGTGTGTTTTCTGGTCTGAGCCTTCAGAATAGGTTCTTCATCTGTTATGAAAAAGAATCACCTATGAGAAGTGAATATGTAATTTCAGGACTATCAGTCCCGGTTGTCCAGAAATTCTGAAGATTTTCTTTTCTGAATTTGCCACCATTTTTCCTTTGCTAATCTTTCCAAACAATTAGAAGTAAAACATAAATTCTCTCCTTTTCTGAATGAGTCACCAAAGCTTCTGTTACTTCAAGGCTTTTTCAAAGGAGTAGTATGAGTGTGTTGTTTTTACGCAGCTTGTTGCGAAGGCAGTGAGTGGTATAGAGCTCTAAGTGCTTTCTGCCTGTAGATTTGTTCTCTGACCGTCCCTCATGGTGTGACCGTAGGTTTCTGACAAAGCGAGAGCAGAAACTAATGCAACGGCGACAACACGCAGAGGAGCTGCTGGAGTGGAAGCGACGTTTGGATGCAGAGGAAGCAGAAATTCGTCAAATGGAGAAACAAGCTTTGGCTGCCTGGGACAAAGAATTAATAAAACCTAAAACTCCGAAGAAAGAAATTGAGGACCAGAGAACAGAACAGAAAGGTAATAAATGTTAACTCCATTCACTCTGCAAACCCAAGCCTAATGTAACCAAAAGATTGACTTCATTATTTTTAAAAAAGGTGAATGATTAAATGTGAAGAATGCGATATAACTGCAAATGCCACAGACCTTGGAATTATGAGACTGTTGTGAATGACTTTATGCTAACATATCTGAGAACTGAGAAGAAATGGGTGAATTCTGTGAAATGGAAGTGGGCTATTCCACGACCAAGTGGGGTTTAACACATCCTAAAAAATCAACAGGGCAGATTACTTAAACGGATCAAAGGAGAAAAATTACATGACATCTGAATGGATTTGGAAAAGGTACTTGATAAAATCCAAAAAGCATTTCTAATAAAACAAATTTCAGGTCAAAGTATCAATAGAAGGGAGCTTTCCTTATGTGATCTAGGATATCTATGAGCAAAAATGAAAAACCAAACCTACTACAAGATACTGCTGTTAGTGATAAAACATAGAAAACTTTCCCTTTAAATTTGGAAAGAAGATAAAGATGCTTTTATTTCACCTAAGCAGTGAAAGGAAGAAGCAAAACTTATTCTTATAGAAAATCCAGCATTTAACAAGTGAATCTAGCATGGTTGCTAAGTTCATAAACAAAATTCAGTTACACGTCTATAGACCAGCAGAAATTGGTTAGAAAAATCTAATTAAAAAAATGTTTATTTATTTTGAGAGAGACAGAGTGCAAGTGAGGGAGGGGCAGAGAGAAAGGGAGAGAAAGAATCCCAAGGAAGCTCCACGCTCAGCGCAGAGCCTGATGCAGGGCTCAATCCAACGACTGTGAGATCATGACCTGAGCTGAAATCAAGAGTCAGATGCTTCACTGACTGAGCCACTCAGGAGCCCCCAGAAAAATTAATTTTTAAAAGAGATGCCATTTATCATAGAAATAAAAAAACATGAAGTACTAGGAATAAATTTAACAAAAAATATGTAAGATCTTTATGGAGAAAACTTTAGAATGTTATTAGGAGACATTACAGAAGACCAAAATAAATAGAAAGCTTTTCCATTCTCACAGATTCAGTGTCATTAAAGATGTTAATTCTGCCTGAACTTATTTGTAGATTCAAGGCAATTTAAATCAGAAACTCAGCAAGATTTCTTCATAGGGTTTGATAAGCTCGTTTTACAATGTGTATGAAAGAACAAAGGACCAAAAAGCAAAGACACTGCTAAAGACGAACCACAAAATGGAGAACTTACATTACCAGATACCAAAACTTGTAAAAGTATAATGATTAAAACGGGATTATTTGTACAGAGATACACAAATAGACCATGAAACAGCCCAGAAAAAGACCCATGCATATGTGGAAAGTTGACTTCTGACACAGGTAACTTTGCAGAGCAGTGAAGGAAGGAGGGACTCTCCACTAAATTTGGAGGGCAGGAAAAAATGAAATTGGATCCCTACATTGACAATATAGAAAGATCCAGCTGAAGGGTTTAAAAAAAAAAAAAAAGGCTTAAATGTGAAAATTAGAATTATGACACTTTTAGACCATAGAAGAAAATATCTATATGACATCAAGGGGAGGGAGAGATTTCTTTAATAGGTTATACAAAGCAAAACCACAAAGGGAAATACCAATACCTTTGATTTCAATAAATTAAGAATTTGTATTCATTAATACACCATAGAGAAAGTAAAACAACAAAATAAAAAAAAGATATTTGCCACACATATGACTGACAAAGGAATAGTAGAAAAACATGCAAGCAGCTCCTGTGAATCAAAAATAAAACAACCACATTTTAAAAATAAGGGAAAGAGCAGATAATTCACAATGAAGAACTCCAAATCATCAATAAACATCTGAAAAGATGTCACATGTATTGGTAATCAGGGCATAAAAATCATAAAGAAATACTGCTTCCCTTCCTAGGGCTGCTGGAACAAATTATCACAAATTTAGTAGCTTAAAAAAAAGTTTTATTCTCTCACTTCTGGGGGCCAGAAGTATAGGAGCAAGGTGTTGGCAGTGCTGTGCTCCCTCTGAAGGATCCAGGGAACAGCTCTTCCCTTCCTTCTTCCGGCTTGTGGCTATGCTGTCGGCATCTCTTGTGTCTGCCTAACTCCAGTCTCCCACTCTTCTCCATGCCTGTCTGCTCCTCTTTTGTCTCATAAGGAAACTTTCAGTGGATTTAGGGCCTACCCAGATAATTCAGGGTGATCCCATCATGAGATCCTTAATTACATCTGCAAGGACCCTTTTTTCCAAAAAGAATTGCATTCACAGGTCCGGGGGGTTAAGACATGGACATATCTTTTCCAGGACCATCATTCAGCCCATTCACAATACCCATCAAGCCCGTGGGTATGTAGGTGGAACACGGAACTGCTGTTGTATTAATTGTTAAACCTAGTTTGGAAAACAGGTTGAAAAAAAGAGGCATTAAAAATAATCAATAAAATCATAAAAGTGAGGTACACGTATTTTACGATTCAGCGGTTCCATTCCCAGGTATGAATCCTAGAGCAGTGGTTCTTAAAATATGGCCCAGGAAACTCTGGGAGAGTCTCTAAGATCCTTTCAGAGGACGTGGGGGTCAAAATTATTTTTATAATGATACTATCATGTTGTTTGCCTTTTTCACTGTGTTGACATTACGCTGATGTAGCAAAAATAAGGGTGAGTAAAATTGCTGACGTCTTAGCATGAATCAAGGCAGGGCACCAAACTGTGTTTTTAGTAGCCTTGTATTCTTCACCACTTTGTACTAACGATAACATGCCAGTTTTATGTAAGAATGCCCTGAAATAAGCACTTACGAATACTAATTTTGTTGAATCTCAACCTTTGGGTACATATCTTTTTAATACTTTGTGTGACAAAATAGGAAATATGCACGAAGCACTTGCATGTGCTGAAGGTTGGTGGTGGCTTTGAAGAAAAGCACATAATGCAGTGGTTTGAATTGCAAGCTGAACCAGCCATTTTTTTTTTCATGGAGTACCATTTTTACTTAAGTGTCTAAAAAACTGGTTATTCATACTTGTGTATTTGGCAGTTTCTCAGAAATAAATGAAGCAACTTTGTTCAGAGAAAACAGGGGCTACATTTATTGCCAGTGATAAAATTTAAGCTTTCAAGCAAAAATTTAGGATTTTAGAAATGCTGTTTTCCCCATCTTGAGCTGGACAGCTTTCCAATACTTAAAAGACTTTCCTGATATGATGGGTGATGATACTAATCAGGGTCATTTTTTCATATTGCGCAATAAAATGTGTCAACATTGGGAAGATCTTCAGAACTCAGTGAAGCAGTGTTTTCCAAATGACCAGTGATGATTTAGAGAATCATGCATGGGTAGAAAACCCATTTAAAGTACAGAGTTGACCAAAGGATTTTAATGTAACATCACAAAAAGTTTATTGATATGGTTTTAGATTCTACATTCCAGCTAAAATACAAGGAACTACCAATGGTCAAATTTCAGTGTAGCATCAAAAAAGAATATCCACAATTATCTGTACAGACTGTTACAATACTCTTCCCTTTTCTAATTACATATATTCTTTGAGAGGCCAGATTTTCTGCATATGCTTCAGCCAAAACAACAGATAGTCACAGATTGCAGACAGAAGCAGATAGGAGATTCCAACTGCCTTCTGTTAAGCCAGACATTACAGATATTTTAAAAAATGTAAAACAATCCCTCTCCTTTCAACTGAGCCCTTTTTTGGAAAAATGTAGTTATTTTAAAATTTAGTAAATGTCATTTATGTTAACATGTAGATTTATTACTGTTTTTAAATATTTTAATTTTTTTTCCATTTTAACTTCTAGTATGATTAATATTGATAGATATAACCATATCTGTAACCACAGAAAAAGCTTTTTGTGGTCTTCAATGATTTTTTCAGAGTATGAAGATGTCCTGAGACCAAAATGTTTAACTGCTGTCTTAGAGCAATGTTTTTTTCCTGTTCAACTCTCTAATTTATTAGAACTGTTGGCCTCCTTAATCATGGAAAAAGTGTTATTGGGTAAATGTGATAAGCCAAAGGCAATTTTAATGCAATTTTAATCTCATCAAATATAGCCTATGAATAGTTTAACTGTTTAATAAAGTAAAGTAACCTAAAAGAAAAAATTGAGTTGACCCTTAAACAACACAGGGATTAGGGATGCCAACCCACACACAGTCAAAAATTCATGTATAACTTTTGACTCCCCCAAAACTTTAGCAATACCTTACTGCTAACCAGAAGGCTTACTGATAACATAAATAGCTGATTAGCCCGTATTATGTATATGTATTATATAGTACATAATATATTACAGTATCGTATTATTCTTACAATAAAATAGGATAAAGAATGTTTTAAAAAATCATAAGGAAGAGAAAATACATTTATAGTATTGAGTTGAATTGTATTTATTTTTAAAAATGCACATATAAATGGACTTTAGTTCAAACCCATGTTATTCAAGGTATTGCTTATGTTAAATAAGCTTATTTTGCAGATTTCAGACCCAGAATCTTAAATGAGACTTTTAGAATTGAGTATATCAAATGTTAGCAGTACTGATGCAAAATATGATATCATCTAATTCTTGTGGGGCATTATACCTACAAAGACAAAGAAGGAAAACAATGTAAATTCTTAACATTATACAAGTATAATGTCAAGGTTTTTCTGTTTAGTGTCAAACATATTTGTTTTCTTGGAAAGAGCAAGGGTTATAACGGACAGGAAATTCCAGAGACAGGATAGTGCTAAAAATTCTGGAAGCACTAAATGAAATTCACTGTATATCTCCATCGATCATGCAGCTCTAGTTCATTCATTATTGTTGCTATGTTACATGTTATTGGCTAAATATACCACAATTTATTCATTTTACTATCCGCAGATATTTGTGTTTTTTAAACCGTGTAAATGTCTCCTACTGTATATATGCAAGATTTCTCTAGGGTGTATACCTAGGAGTGGAATTGATAGATAATGGAGTATTGTCATCTTTTCCAAGTATTGCCAGCCACATTGTTTTTCAAAGTGGTTGGACCAACTTACACTCATATATGAGAATATGAGTTGTTATTGCTCTGTAGCTTCCCAATCAGTTAGGTTGTCAGTCACTGTCATTGCTGATTATATGTTTACAGATCTCTTCTTCAGTTTGCTGTCAGCCAAAATTCTTACTTAGACTAACAGACTTTACAGTAATGTGATTCCTTAAGTGGTGGGATTAAAATTGTATCTAAATGCAATTGGTGAAATTATGCAAAAGCAAATGCAAAGTGTAGCTGTGGAAAATTTCTTTTGACCAAGACTGTGGTCTTTTTCTTGTTTTTACTCTCTCTTTGTAGAAATAGCAAGTGAAGCAGAATCTCCAGTACCTTCTTACTCTCACCTCCACAGTGAAAGCTCTATTCCAGAAGAATTGGGCAGTCCTGCTGTTGGATATATACCCTCCGAGTCTATAGTTCAGGAGCAGTCAGGGAGTCCAGATCATAGTGTACTTACTGAAGAAATGGTTTTTTCACAAGAACTGGAATCTTCTACCTCTCCTAGTAAACATGTAAGTTAATGTATATTTATTCCTTAAAGCTTCTTTAGACCAAAGTCTTCTGAAAGTTATATTATTAACAGTTAACATTCTTGCAATTAATGACAGTGTTGACTATTGCCCATACCTGTAACATACAGCATATGACATTTGAGCAGGAATAAAGCTTTTCATAGATTCCTAAAGATTAATAAATATATAAATTTTAGTTTTAGTGGCAGTCGTAAAATTATATATTATTAAGTCTATTAATATTGAGGGGATAGGAAGTTCTAAAATCTTTAAAAGATAATTTAAGTTTAATTTAAATTAAACTTAAAGATAATTATAGAGGGACAATACAAGTGCTTATTAAAATCTGTATTCTGACCTATAATAGAAACAGTAAGATCTTAAACCATGTCATTGTGCCTTTTCTATAATTTAGTTAATAGTTGCCCTTATAACTCATAAATCAGAATAAAAGTAATGGTTGCATTTCTTTAAGGCAGATCTGAAATGGTTATTGACTCTGAATTAGAATAATGGTCACTTCTAGAATAAGATTTTCCACACTGTCCTTAATTCTGTATTTCATTAAAAAAAAAAAAAAACGTATCTGATGAGGGGGCCTGAGTGACTCAGCCTATTAAGTGTCCAGCTCTTGATTTTGGCTCAGGTCATGATCTCACAGTTTGTGGGATCAAGCCCTGCGTTGAGCTCTGTCCTGACAGCTCAGAGCCTGCTTGGGATTCTCTCTCTCCCTGTCTCCAGCCCCTCCTCCCCCACCCCTCTCAAACTAAATAAATAAAACTAAAAACAAAAACAAAACCTATCTGATAAAAACTTAAGCTTAGAAACTTAACTGTTTCTTTTTAAATTTGATTTTATAAAGCCTACAAAGGAATTAGCATAATATTATTAAATATTAAGTGAACATAAACTTTGTTAAAGTCTCTGTCTAAAAAAAGGAACCCATTTAATTTCAAAATGGAGTATCTTTTGATAGAGTCTTCATTTCACTGTGGATGTGAAGAATGAATTGCATTTCCTCTATTGAAAAATCAGATTTATGTGTGTTATAGCACCTGAAAGATTTGGGGGAAAACATTTTTTATCCAGTGATCCAATGAAGAACCTATTCTGTGCTGTGTAGCAAAATATTCCAATGCCTTGGGCACATACTTGAAAGCAGAGTTTTTAGATTATAAAAGGCTTCTAATTAAATTATATTAGCAAATTCTTAGTTATTATGTGAAGATAGGCTTGTATACATAAACGTAGCATGGAATTTACAACCAAACTATGCTTTTTGACACAGTGTTAATATTACTTCCTGTGAATTGGTTAAATCCCACCTAGCATTGTTATTGACATTCAAAATAGGTTGATCAAACACTAAAAATTAGTTTTTTTCCTGACAAGCAAATATGGCAAAGAAATAAAACTAGTGTGTCTTAAAGTGATTTTTTATAACTGGGGCACCCGGGTGGCTCAGTTGGTTGAGTGTCCGACTTCAGCTCAGGTCATGATTTTGCAGTTCGTGGGTTTGGACCCTGGGTCAGGCTCTGTGCTGACAGCTCGGAGCCTGGAGCCTGCTTCAGATTCTTTGTTTCCCTCTTTCTCTGCCCCTCCCCCGGTCGGCCTCTCTCTTTCTCTCTCAAAAATAAACATTAAAAAATGTTTAAGTTATTTTTATTTTTATTAAAAAAAATTTTTTTTAACGTTTATTATTGAGAGACAGAGAGAGACAGAGTGGGAGCAGGGGAGGGACAGAGAGAGGATGAGACACAGACTCTGAGGCAGGGTCCAGGCTCTGAGCTGTCAGCATAGTGCCCAACGCGGCGCTCGAACTCACAAACTGTGAGACCATGACCTGAGCCAAAGTCGGACCCCCAATCGACTGAGCCACCCAGGCGCCCCTGGTGATTTTTATAATAAAAAACTAATACTTATTCGTGCTTACTTACCAAGTGCCAGCTAATATGCCAATGCCTTATGTGGATTATCCTCACAAGAAATCTAGAGGTACTGTTTTAAGCCCCACTCTGAAGCTCAGTGGGCTAGGAGGAAACCTGCCCAAATTCACAGGTACAGGAAGTGATGATAGCCAGGAATCAAATTAGATATTCCCACTTCCTCCTGGTGGCAGGATAGAAATGATGTCCTTTGTAATCTCTTGTAGACAGTTTTCTTACACTTTGTTTTCTTCCCTTCCTCCTTCCCTCCCTTCTTTCCTTCCTTCTTCAAAATAGTACATATTTAGTATTTAAAAAATTTTTTTTAAATTTTATTTTAGAGAAAGAGAGTGTGTGAGCAAGAGAGAAGGGCAGAAGGAAAGAGAGAGAAAATGAGAGAGAGAGAGAGAGAGAGAGAGAGAGAATATCTCAAGCAGGCTCCACTCTCAGCACAGAGCCTGATGTGGGGCTCAATCCCACGATGCTGGATTCATGACCTGAGCTGAAGTCAGGTCATGAGCATTGGGACGCTCAACTGACCGAACCCCCCAGGCACCCCCATATTTAGTATTTTTAAAGTTTTTTTTTTCAGTTTTATTGAGATATAATTGATACACAACACTGTATAAGTTTAAAGTGTACAGCATAATGGCTTGGCATACATACATTGTGAAATGATTGCCACAATAAGTGGGGTTAACATCTCTCACCTCATAAAGTTAAAAAAAATTTTCCCTTGTAACAAGAACTTTTATGCTCCTCCCTTAGCAACTTTCACATATACCACACAGCAATGTTTAACTCTAGTCATCCCATTTTACATTACATCCCTAGGACTTATGAATTTTATTTTTTTTTTCAACGTTTATTTATTTTTGGGACAGAGAGAGACAGAGCATGAACGGGGGAGGGGCAGAGAGAGAGGGAGACACAGAATTGGAAACAGGCTCCAGGCTCTGAGCCATCAGCCCAGAGCCCGACGCGGGGCTCGAACTCCCGGACCGCGAGATCGTGACCTGGCTGAAGTCGGATGCTTAACCGACTGTGCCACCCAGGCGCCCCTGGACTTATGTATTTTATAACTGGAAGTTTGTACCCTTCCTACCTTCACCCAATTTCCCCACAACCCCCACGTCTGGTAACCACAAATCTGATCTCTTTTTCTATGAGTTGAGTTTTTTTTTTTTTTTTTTTTTTTTTTTTTTTAGATTCTACACATAAGTGAGATCGTACAGTATTTATCTTTCTCTGTCTAACTTATTCCCCTTAGCATAATGCCCTCATGGTTCATCCGTGTTGCAAATGGCAGGATTTCCTTCTTTCTTTACAGCTGAATAGTGTGTTCCTGTGCGTGTGTGTGTGTGTGCGCGTCCATGCGTGCACATGCACGTGCACTTGTGCACACATGCACCACATTTTCTTTATCATTTATCTGTCAATGGAGAATTCCCATATGATCCAGCAACTCCACTTCTGGGTGGAGTCTTCTGAAGGAAATGAAATCACTATGTCGAAAAGATATCTGCACTCCCGTGTTTAGAATTTTTTTAATTAAAAAAAATAAATGAATAAGGGGGTAACTATCACTTATACAATAGCCACTCCTACTTTATTTTTTTCTTAATTTTTTTTTTAACGTTTATTTATTTTTGAGACAGAGAGAGACAGAGCATGAACGGGGGAGGGTCAGAGAGAGGGAGACACAGAACCTGAAACAGGCTCCAGGCTCTGAGCTGTCAGCACAGAGCCCGACGCGGGGCTCGAACTCACGGACCGCGAGATCATGACCTGAGCCGAAGTCGGCTGCTTAACCGACTGAGCCACCCAGGCGCCCCCTCCTCCTACTTTATTTTAAACCTCTCTAAAAAGCATGCTTCTCTGTAACTTTTTTGTATAACTTAAAAAAAAATTGAGGTCGATTTATCCTTTGTATAATTTGTAAACTGTTTTTACTTTTTATGTCATAGAGTTACTTAACACTCTTTGTATATATTATTAACTGCTTGGTATCTCAAATGCTAACTGGATCTTACAACTGTATCACAAAACACTTCCCATTTGGTTTTCCGTTTGAACAGTCACCTCCCAAAAGCTGCACATCAGTGTCAAAGCAGGAGTCTAGCAAAGGAAGTCATAGGACTGGAGGACAGTATCGTCTACCTATCAAGTCCCATCAACACTGTTCTAGTTGGTCAGATGAGTCATTATCTATGACACAGTCAGGTAAGAGTAATAACAAGGAGTTTTCTTTGTATTATATTTGAATACCTCTTTAATAAGCTTTGTCTGTCCATATGTTAGTGTAATGTTATCCTTTCTCTCATTTGTAAAGGCTTTTTTCTTGCCAAGAGTAAATCACATAATTCAGTGCTTTTCATTGATAATTAATTATTTCCCTAATTACACAAAATGTGACAAACTGTTACATTCTTGGGTTGTTAATGGGCAAGTCATTTATTCATCAGACATTTGTTGAATATTTTTTTCTATGTGCCAGATACTGCTTATGTGTTCCCATAGTGCTCTGTGCATCAGCTTATACCAGACAGCATATAAATTGTAACCAGACTTTACCCAGCAGGTCTCCCCTACTAGCATATAGACTTCTGGAAAGGAGAGTCTAATTTATTAATAATTGGTGGCACCAGGACCTACCAGGTACTTTGCATTGCACATGGCAGGTATTTATTAAATGTTCCTTTCTTTTTTTTTTTTTTTTTTTTTAATGTTTATTCATTTTTGAGAGAGACAGAGACAGAATGTGAGTGGGTTAGGGGTAGAGAGAGAGGGAGACACAGAAGCCAAAGCGGGCTCCAGGCTCTGAGCCGTCAGCACAGAGCCCGACGCGGGGCTCGAACTCACAAGCTGTGAGATCATGACCTGAGCCAAAGTCGGATGCTCAACTGACTGAGCCACCCAGGAGCCCCTTAAGTGTTTCTTGAATGAATTAATGATGACCATGGAGAGAGAGAGGAGGAGGTAGGGCAGGATAGCCTAAGTTTCAAAGGAGGAAAGGTAGAGAATCAACTGCACATGGCAGTGGGGAACATTGTCTATTCTCCTATAGTCTCTATTCTGCTATAAAACTCTGTGCTATTAGATTATGAAGCCATGAACAGCCTCTATTCTGTAAGACTTCAATGTACACAAGATCTGATCTTGGGAAGCATATCTATACAGGCAACGCTCAGTTTATGAGAATTCCAAGGAAGGTTGACACTATATTGAGTGTATGCCTTTTGAGCTCATTTTTAGTTTTCATTTGAGAGTAGACATTTAATAAAGAAAAAGTGAAAAATATTATTCTGTTTTTGGTCTTTGATCCTATTCTGTACCCCCTGTTTTCAGTGTTTCAAATGATAATAAATCATTGGACGTTCCCACACCCATATTTTTATTTTTTTATTTTTTTTAAATTTTTTTTTCAACGTTTATTTATTTTTGGGACAGAGAGAGACAAAGCATGAACGGGCGAGGGGCAGAGAGAGAGGGAGACACAGAATCGGAAACAGGCTCCAGGCTCTGAGCCATCAGCCCAGAGCCCGACGCGGGGCTCGAACTCACGGACCGTGAGATCGTGACCTGGTTAAAGTCGGACGCTTAACCGACTGCGCCACCCAGGCGCCCCCCCACACCCATATTTTTAAATCACCCTTGTTTTTGAATAACTGCATAATATTTCAAAGAGTAGATATACCATAACTTATTTAAATATTTCTCTAGTGATGATCATTTAGATTTTGTCAAAATTGCCAATAATGTTTTTTTTTTTAATTTTATTTTTTATTTTTTTAAATTTACATCCAAATTAGTTAGCATATAGTGCAACAATGATTTCAGGAGTAGATGCCTTAGTGCCCCTTACCCATTTAGCCCATCCCCCCTCCCACAACCCCTCCAGCAACCCTCAATTTGTTCTCCCTATTTATGAGTCTCTTCTATTTTGTCCCCCTCCCTGTTTTTATATTATTTTTGTTTCCGTTCTCTTATGTTCATCTGTTTTGTCCCTTAAAGTCCTCATATGAGTGAAGTCATATGATATTTGTCTTTCTCTGACTGACTAATTTCACTTAGTATAATACCCTCTGGTTCCATACACATAGTTGCAAATGGCAAGGTTTCATTCTTTTTGATTGCTGAGTAATACTCCATTGTGTATATATACCACACCTTCTTTATCCATTCATCCATCGATGGACATTTGGGCTCTTTCCATACTTTGGCTATTGTTGATAGGGCTGCTCTAAACATGGGGGTGCATGTGTCCCTTCGAAATAGCACACCTGTATCCCGTGGATAAATGCCTAGTAGTGCAGTTGCTGGGTTGTAGGGTAGTTCTATTTTCAGTTTTTTGAGGAAGTGTTTTCCAGAGTGTCTGCACCAGCTTGCATTCCCAGCCAGTAAAGTTGTAATGAACATCTTCTTGTGGAATATTTCAGTAAGAATAAATTCTTAGAAATGAGATTACTAGCTCAAGCCAGTTGAAGAATGTTGTATATCATATTTATCTGTTGAATATTATTATTTTTATGTATTTGCTTTGAGGTACTCTGGCAAAAAGTTACTACCAGTGTAGTAACATGTCAGTAGACATAAACTTGATACTTGAAAACATGGATTTAGGGGTGCCTGGGTGGCTCAGTCGGTTAAGTGTCTGACTTTGGCTCAGGGCATGATCTCATGGCTTGTGAGTTCGAGCCCTGCGTTGGGCTCTATGCTGACAGCTCAGAGCCCGACGCGGGGCTCGAACTCACAGACTGCGAGATCGTGACCTGGCTGAAGTCGGACGCTTAACCGACTGCGCCACCCAGGCGCCCCTCTCTCTCAGAAATAAATAAACATTAAAAAATTAAAAAAAAAAAAAACTCTGAATTCATATCTTAGCTCTACTACTTACTGGTGACTTTCTTCAGCTTTCTTTCCCATATTGGATAGTCTTTTCCATCTGTTCAGTGGAATAATATTGTAACCAGCCTTGCATGAGTTACAGACTAAGGATTAATAATGTTAATAAGATACTGTTTTATTGGTAAAACATACTCAAGTGAGAATAGTTTTAGAAAAATAGCTCTGAGATTTCTAAACTCCAGATGCCATCTGCCTGTTGATGATGACATCATTAAATGCAATGTTTATGGAAGTGGTCAGTTTTAATGTAGTGGAGTTATATAAGCCTTTCTCAAGTGATAAAGAATTTATCAGCCAAATTATTAGAGGCTGCCTGTGTGAAATAATCAGAAACTTAATTTTTTCTATTAGATCATTCTGTCCATCAGGTTATTCTGTCTTGACGTTAGTTTAAACAAACTGAAATATCATTTACCGGTCCCCTCCTCTCCGTCACCACCCAAAAAAACCTTGTAGGAGATAATTCCATAAAGGCAATAAATTCATTCAGTGAGTTGTTTGGGTTAAAAAAAAAAATTCTAGAGATTTTTAGATGCTACTAATGATGAATTTTTTAAAATGTTTATTTTAGAGAGAGAGAGAGAGCGAGCATGAGCACATGCAAGTGGGGGAGGCGCAGAGAGATAGGGAGACGTAGAATCCAAAGCAGGCTCCAGGCTCCAAGCTGTTAGCACAGAGCCCCACGCGAGGCTCTAACTCACAAACCACGAGATCATGACTTGAGCCAAAGTCAGATGCTTAACCGACTGAGCCACACAGGCACCCCGTTACTAATGATGAATATTATGCAGTAATACTATATTTGGGCAGGTATATAATGTATTCCCACTCATTCTCATAGACTTTTATTTATTTAATTTCTACCTTTCATTTGTACACTTTTGGCTTCTTTAGTACTTAAAAATAGAAACATTTCCCAAGGTCTTTCATCTAAAAACTCCCAAGTTTCTCATCAACTACTTTTAAATCTTCACAAGCATAGATGATACATATTTTTATTAGAAAAGTCACTGCTGGCAGGGCACCTGGGTGGCTGAGTCAGTTAAGCGTCTGACTTCGGCTCAGGTTATGATCTCACAGTTTGTGGGTTTGAGTCCCGCATCGGGCTCTGTGCTGACAGCTCAGAGCCTAGAGCCTGCTTCAGATTCTGTCTCCCTCCCCCTGCTCATGCTCTTTTTCTCAAAAATAAATAAACATTAAAAAAATTACAAAAAGAAAAAGAAAAATCACTGCTGGCATGTGCAATTTTTATAATATATTAATTTGAAGGCAAGACTACACTGTGTGTTAGCTAACTTGACAATAAATTATTAAATATGTATATGCTAATTTAAAATAATCATTTTGGGAGGGGGGGCAAGGTTGAAACTAAGTGTGTGGGAGTATAGTGATTCCCCCACACAATTTTATCAAAGTCTTCAAATTTTATCCATGTCTTGAGGTTTGGAAGCACATAAAAGCTTATCCAGCTAAAAGAAGCTCAGTTTTTAGAAGATGCAAAGATATGGGTTTATACTTCATTTTAGAAACATTTTAACTTTTAGATCAACCTGCAGTCCTACCCCAAATTATTACACTAGAATCATCAATTGAATCTCTGCAAAGGGCTCAGAACCTTTTAACCCTGAAAGCAATTGATTCTTTTCTTCAGCAATTAGAAGAAAACATAAGGGAGATACTCAGTGGCTCTCTTCTCACCACCAGCATTTTTAGTTTTAGATTGGAAAATCTGTTACCGAAAATATAGCTGCATAAAATGTTTGTTTTATATGAGTATTACTCTTACCACCATTTTTTGAGCTTTTATAGTTCAGTTGCTGTGCTGTGTGCTTTGTACACCTTATTTAATCTACACATCAATTCTAGAAATCAGCAGGGGGTCAAACTTACCTTACCAATTACCAGTAACAGATCCAGAGTTGAAAATGGCCTTTATTATTATGCTATTTTATGAGTGTTGATCGATAAATAGTGAGCTTTGCCCATGCTAAGGACTCACGATGATGCCACCAGTGGTATAAGATGGGGGTATTACTTTCCTGAGGTACCTAAAGTTAGCAACATAGAAGTGACAGGAACTTAGATTTCATTATTTCTAATCCAGATATTGGGATCATTCTATTAAAAAAAGACTATAATCCTTTTGCATTTAAATAAGTTCCATAACTAGTTCTTACGCAATTTAATCTGAAGTACCTGAAAAAAAACCTGGTTATTTATGGTTTAATGTTGTAGCATACATTTGAGTCTTCAGATTTTATACAATAGTATTTCTATTGTAATAGTATTTCTATGGCTATTAAATGTCTCACTCGACATTAGTGTGTGGAAATGATATTATTACTTGATTTGGGGAGGAGGTGTGAGGAATAATCATTTTTATTCTGCGTAATTTCCATGTGTAGTGAAATAAGCAGCATCTTTAAATGACAGTATTTTCATAGCATGTATGTGACACTTATTATAATGAAATGTCTTTTTCATGATTTTGCTGTGACTGGACATCTACTTTGTACGTGTGTGTATATGTGTAGGGAACTGTTGGGAAGAAAATAAGATTTAACTAGCTTCATTTTAGCTATTTTAAATATTTTAAGAGCTTCTAAAGAAAGGTTATAGCAGAGTATATTTCTTTATAATTTCTTTCTTTCCTTTTTTTTTTTTTT